TAAACCAGTCCCAGGAACTACAAGTTCAAGAGAAAGCGTAACCAGTTTGCTATAGGAAATTTACAGATGGATGGAGAGTCTGCTCATGTTTGAGCTTGAAGAGATTTTAGGTGAGATCTAAAACATTCTTCCAACTGGAGGTTCTTACCATCAAAACAAGAATGCTGTGTCTGCAGAGAGCTCTTGCTCCTAGAATTGCTTTCAGATTAATGGGCCCTTCTCACTGGCCAGTCACCTGAGATAGCTTCACAGATGCCCCAGCACCTGCCCATGTCATCTCTCCCCCACTCTAGATGGGCACTGTGCTGAGCAGAATGCTTTGGGACACTGGAGAATGGCTCACTAGGAAAGCATTTTGAGAATATACAGATAAAGCCATGCTGCTATTTCACAAGCCTCCGGTGTCCTTACACGAAGATTGTTGAGGCTTTTCCACCTGGGACACATCCGGGATGCCTGGCTCAGGCTCCCACATCCTGGCTGGAGGGTGCTGTGATTTACCTTTCCACCTTCTCCCTCTGACAACAGGACCAGCTGGTCTGAGCCCTCCCAGGCACTTGCAGTGGGTTTGGGAAAGAGCCCTCCACATCCTTCTCACCAGTCAAGCGTGTGAAAGAGGGTTTGAAAAGACCCAGAGAGCCACTGGGCCAGGAAAACTTCCCAGTCAATCCATCGCCTCTCTGCCAATCTGTCCACAGTTCCAGGGGCAGGTGGAGGGAGGGAGGTGAGGCAAATGGAAACAGGAGCTGTGTGCACCTTCGTGTGTGTGTGTGTGTGTGTGTGTGTGTGTGTGTGTGTGTGTGTGTGTCCCCAAGCACAGAGACAGGACTAGCAATAGAAGAGCAGGCAAGAGGGCGTGGGAGACTGGGAACTCATTTATAAAAGCTCTTCTGCCCTAAAGCAAGTCAAACTCCCTGCTGAGGAGTTGCTTTTTCTTCCTCCCTTTTGAGTCTTCTGTGCTGAACTGACCTCTCCCCCGGCAGAGGTCAGCGCCCCGCTTGCCCTGCACACACTCAGCCTTCTGGGGCTTGCTTGACTTCGAGCCTGAGCCTGCGCGGGAGAGCAGTCCTCAGTTCTGCCTTCTGACAGGAAAGCTGTGGAAAACATCGTGAAGAAGCTGGTCTTTTTCTTTTTTAAAAAAGAAATACATATGTACATTATGATAAAAAAAATCTTCTGGGAACTGTGCAGAAAATGAAAAGCAAGCCTAAGAACTGTACATCATCGCAGAGCCCCGTCCCACAGCCTACTTCACTCCCTAAATAAATCAGGCAGGGTAATGAATGAGGCTTGAGGAAATGTAACTGAACTTAAAATACAAGGTCAGTATCTCATCCTAGGTAATCCTTTGGAGGATGAGAAATTCTCCTGATTTTCCCACAGGGTTATTTCAGATGCGCTTCCTGAGCCAAACTATTTTAAAAGCGTTCATTCTTCCACTGCCCTGCCAAATGCTAACTTGAGATTCACACGCACTTTCAGAGAGCCTATTAATGATATTAATGATCGTGGATCAAAGGCAAACTCTAGAGGTTTATGTAAGAATTCCAGACAATTATTTAGGTGCTTTAAAAATTCTTCTTACAAAGGAGGGTAACAATTTCCCAATGCTGGCAAAGACTAAGTGTTGTGTTCACATGTGTAGGGTCCAAAGTGGCAGAACAAACACAGAGGGGCCTTAGGAGAAAACAAACACATCTCTTTCTATGACTTACACGTATGACTTGTCCCCATAGCCTTTCCTACTCGTTTGGAAGGAGGCACAATTTGGATTTGCAGGAAGCCCTTCTCCTAAGGGATACTCAGGTCTTCACGCACCCTGCCTCTTTTAGCATCTAGTATACATGCACCACACACACACACACAAACACACTACATTTTAAAACTAGTTTTAACTGTGGCATCACATAAAAATTATTGATGGGCTTTAGAATAATGTTCAGGCTGAACCTTACAGATTCTGAACAAACTAGAACCTACCCAGGTGACTCCAGTGTGTGGCCAGTGTACAGACCCATTTTGAAACACAGGGAGAAATGAGTACATGGCAGTGGTGTGTTTACCTGAGTACTCTGAGAGGTATGGGTGGCACTTAAAACATTACTTTTATTTGATATATGAAGAAACTGAGACCTGCAAGGTTAAGCCTTCCCAATGAGTAAAAAACCAGCAACTTGGACCCATTTTCCAGCTTGCAGAAAGCTGCTGTTATCCTGGGCTGCTGTCCCGGGTCCAGGCTCCATGTCCAGTGCAGGGCCACATGATGGGCCTCCAGGACTAGGAACATGGAGAAGGACGGGTTGTGCTTTATCATTTATAGTCACTCTCTGCGCTTCATGTGTACCTCTTTAAATGTGCGCTGAAATACTTGCGGACAGTCATGTACAGGCCGCAGGGGAAACTTAATTACAAGGGACCAGGGAGGCCTAGGGTACCGAAATAAAAGGCAATGTGGAGACAGAGCTGCGCCAGGACTTTATCAGTCCTGAACCAGGATTAGGTGCACAGAGAAAGGAGGCGAATTCACTTGGGGAATGTCAAGATTCTCTGGAAAGAAGTCCACGTCATGCATTTTAATCCTCACGGGAGGTTTATCTTAGGTCAGAGCCGGGAGCAGAAAAGGAAGCAAATTTACACTGTAAGATGCACCCCAAAACTTTTAGGAGGCAATTTAATTCTAATGTTTTACATTGGGTTTAATATACCTAAATCTTTAGGGGAAATGAACAGTTCAAATGGCTCCTCTGACTATCTTAACAAAGTATTCAAAATCTACCAGTTGCTTCTATGAAGACAATGTTTCTTAGAAATAAAACAATTTAAAATAACATGTTCTGAAAAGAGTGTTTTGATGGTTTTGATGTGTATTCCTTGGGGATAATTTACATTTTGAAGAACAAAAGTGACAGGTATACTTTCGCTACATAATTTCACCGCTTTGACATATATAACTATTTAAAAAGTTTGAAATTAAACAAGTAAGGCAATAAGGTCAATAGGAAAAAAAGAGCTCTCCTGGTGCTTATGGAAGTGTTTGGGTTCTAACTCAAATGAAGAAAGTTATTCTGAGGGGTGTTCTGTCAAATTCATACCTGCAAGTACCTGATCAGAGGCTTCTGGGCCAAATGCATGATTTTATTATTTTTTTTTAAGTAAATTAGGAGTCAAAATGTGTGATATGGTCCTATAATGGCAATTATAAGGGAATATGGTCTATGGTAATAATTATGCTGCAAAATGAAACTTATTTGAATTTGAAACTTACTCAAATTCATGTTCAGTAGTGAATAATTCTAGGTTATTAAAGATAAACTCATTCATTCAGGTTCCTTCCTTTATGGGGTATATTCACATATATTTGTTTCCTGTCTTGTTAAATAAATATAGAAACCAAATTAGAGGGAGTTCTGCAGATTTCTGAGAATTTATTTATATCCTAAAAACTGCTGTACTAATTACCTGAATTAACTGCATTTTACAATGCTTAATTTATTTTGTACTAAGGAAGGCTTTAAACTCTTTAAGAGGAACCAGCTTAATTTTGATTTTTTAAAACTTGCTCCAACATGTTTTAATTCAGTAGTGTTTCAATACCAAGGAATGAACTCTCTTGTCTTGACAAACCATGCATGGAAATTTCCTCATAAGAGAAAAGAAGAAATTACGATGATTTCCATATTCAAGTCACAGCATGCTGAATAGAAAATTTCTGGCTCATAGGAAGGCTGCTCGTTATCTCAGAGGAGGGCTACTCACTCGTCTTGTGGAAATATTACTGTAGGGCCTGCCAAAGAGCTTAGGAACTCTGAAACAGCCACACTGAGTCCAGGCCATTCTCTTGGGCACATGTTCCTTCCTTAATGTGTGTCTGCCCTCACAAACTTTTTAAAATCAAAGGCCACTGGTGTACACAATAATCCATGCTGAAATCCAAACCAACAAGAAAACAATTATACTGTGATACCACTGTTGTCCCCGTATACTCTGAGATATTTCATTCACATAAACTATGTTCCCCATAAATCCAAGACAGAGGATTTGAGCGTGTATATGGAGGGGCTGGGGATAAAAGCCATGGCCTTGTGCATGCACAGCACTCACTCGACCACCGAAAGACATCCCCAGCCCATGAGTCTTATTTTTTAAAAAAGTGACACTTATTTTCCATACTCTTTTAGTACTAAAATAAGGGAACAACAATAAAACCACTGAAAAACTTACCCTATTCTCCCACGTTTGCTTCTTCGCATTTAAAGAATCATGTATGTCTAGATGACACTTAACCTCCAGTGGCAAAGAAAAGAATGTGTAAGAAAAATCACACAGATGTTTTCCAGACATTTTTTGTTTGCGGACATTTATTAAAATGAAACTAATATCCGCCTATTAAAATGTCATTTGAAAACATACAGAAGTGGCTTAGAAACAAAGACAATGAGCAAGTTAAAAAGTTACAAGAGTTCAAAATCACTACATTAGTGGGATCTGATCAACATCTCCTCCAAGCCTGAGAGTCACAGGGATCTGAATAAAGATTTAATTTGGAGTATTAAGTGGTTGTAGAATTTGTCCTTTTTGACTACAAATACTGACAAGGTCTCAGGCTTTCAGACCAAATTACTAAGATTATTAAGAATATCAAAACACATACCATTCCTAACAGTAGAGAACCCTTCATATCCCACCTAATAAGTAACAAAAAAACCCTGGCATCTATTTTCCCCTTTGTACTCCCAAATATCCAAAGAATCACACAATCACTCAAGTAACAAGAGATCCAGGGGTGGTGTTTCAGACATGTGGAAGGAAAGTGCTTAAAGGCAAAATTCCACAAACATATGCCATAGTGTGGGAGCTGAAAGCCACCTTCCGCCCCCGTTAATCCTGTTAAAAAGCATCGTACATAAAGGCTGTGAGAAAGACCACATCTAGCCACAACCCAAGGGTGCTGGTTTCCCCCTTGGAGCACAGGAATTGTTATTTTCTTAAATACAACAAACTCTGCATCCAAGACTTTTATTGAAAGAAAATCATTATACGCACACATATTGGCCTTATCGATTAAGACTAGGTCAACTACTGAAATAAAAGCAGCTCAATAAAACCTCCTCTGCTGATTTCACTTTCAATGTCCCTTCCTAGTTCTAGAGCAGGCAACAGCTTCTGGCAGGGTCACTGTTTTTATTTTATACTCTTCCAGAGAGCAGTTTCTTATCTACCAGTGAGATTACTTGTACCCTCCCTGTTTATAAACTGATCTAATAATTTTTTGTTTAAAATGATTCAATGACACATTGTAAAGAGTATATCTAGAATACTGATCATTCTAACACAGAGGGCCTATGAATACTGATCATTCTAACAGAGAGGGCCACCGTCATCAGTGTTCTACCACTTCTCCACAAGTTTCCATTCTGAACAGTCTACCCCTACTGTACAAGCACAATCAGCTCTGCTGAGGTAGCATTCTGTTGGGCTCACTCTTTGCCTATAGAGTTCTTTGACTGGAGTCAGCTGGGAGTGGGAAGAAAGCTAGGAAGGAAGTGGAAAGGAACCCCCCTGGGGGTGGGGTGGGGAGTAGGACTATGGTGTGGTTCTAGAGGAGGTGGCGAGCCTGAAAGTGCAGGAAAGGGACAAGTTTCTAGGCAGGGCTGGAATCCCAAAGTAACAGACACACAAGGCCAGGCTTTGTGACCACAGTTAAACCTCACAACACAAAATAGTGCCGTGAAGTATGGTGGCCTACGGTTGGACCTCAGCTTACACAGGACATTCAGAGAAAGGAGGTATGGGGGAGGGCATAAGGAGGTGGGAGAAACCACTCATGCACCACAAGCATGAATCTACCCTGTGCCTGTTTTTGTATTATTTTGCGGGTATTTTTTCTGTTAATTTAAACATTTTGGGGACTACACTTGATTTTCCTTTTGCTTAGGGGAGATGCTACTTTAAAGGATCATCTGATGGTAAGCAGAAAAAAAGGTACATTTGGATGGGTAGCCTTTGAATATGGCTTCTTACTTTATAATGAAACAGTGAATCCTTCATTTTTTAAAAATTAGCAACCAAAGCCCGGTATGGAGTGGCTTTACCTAGTCCTCAGATTCTGCTCCATCTCCATCGTGACTGAAAGTAACAAAATTCAGTCTCACTGTCAGATAAAGCCACAAGAAGCCAATCATGAAGATTTCTTTTTGAGGTACTTCCAGGGAATATATTTCAAGTACCTTTCAGAGAATCATGTCTCAGAAACAACTGTGATTTCATTTTTGAAATGTCCAATGTGAACAACTTTGCTGAGAATTTCTCTTTTTCATTGACTTTAACCTTTTCCTAAAAAAACTTCAAAATTACCAGAAGCAAAATAGGGTCCAGATTAACTTTCCAGGCTGACCTCTTAGATTACTTGTCTTTCTGTGGTACCATCGTAAGAGTAGGCTGTATAGTCACAGGGAATTAAACTGCCCAAGAAGCCTTCTAAATGGGAAAATGAAAATTCTGGCCACTGAGCCCCATTGGATTCTGGTCTGTCCTGAACCTATCCAAAATGCTAGAGGTGCAAGGGCATGGACAGAGGCATGCCTGAGCTGCAAGCAAGAGCAAGCCTCTCCCATGTCTTCCCATAATGCTAGGATGAATTACCCACAAACTTCCAGCAATTAGAAGTGTTATAGCTCCCTAGGTGCTTTGGCTGTCCTACTGTAGAACCTGGGAACAGACTGACTCATTCTGAGCCCAGGTATTTTACAAGTTTGAGGGAATCTGAGGATGTGCATGTCCACACGTGGCCCCAGCTGATGAGCTGGAGGCCATGGTAACCAGGCTGAATGAATTAACATGAGGGAGTCTCCCATTAGTCCAGTGGTTCTCAGACTTGAGCATATTTGAGAATGGCCCAGTTTCTCATTCAGCAGGTCTGCATGGGACCCAATACCCAATACCCACATTTTTAATTTGTTACCATGATGCTGGTATTGGGACTACATGCTGAGTACTACAAGTTTATTCTTTCACTAGGCAGAAAATCAACTGTCCCCCACCACAGAACTGCAGTACCATAGTACTGGCCTTATGGCCCCATCACAAGGTCTGCACAGTCATGTGTCAAGAAAGGGCACCTGATTTGTTCTCCATGCAGCCCTTGCACGAATGGTATCCTCCTTGTCAAGATGCATGCCTCTTTGTCATTAAAGTAACTTTTGAAGACAGTTATTAAATGTGACAAGAAAGCAACATTATTAGAACAACCATACAGCCTCCTGGAGGTGACTGCTTGAAAGCTAACCCTAACACAAATCATACTTTTTATTTATGATAATCATTCTAATGAATTCCTTTTCTATCTCAGCATCTGTACACGTGGATCTCTTGTCACAGATCTGGCCACTGCATCCTCAACTACAACTCTGCAATCCTTTGCAATTTCTTTCTTCTTGTGGTTCGGCTGCCCTGAGTTGTAGATAATCTCCCTGTGTTTGTGGCTGAGCTGGTTTGCTGTGCCTGTGTTAGGTTATTTTTCATCAGATGTCTGGAGGAGAGATTTTCCAAAACATGCAACTCTTCCTTAGCCGTGGTTTTTGCCAAATCTTGTTTCAAGAGTAACCCCGGATCTGACAGCTCTGAAGTTGGCAAAACACTGACAGCTGCGCTTTTTTCCACTATTATTTCTCCCGAGATTAATCGGTCACTTCCAAGAGAAACTCTCTTGTGGTGGTCAGAGTCTTCTGCAGAGCCACAGTTCCTGCGTTTCTGTTGTGTTTTGGCTGCCTGTGGACTTTGCTTTGGACCTAGTGATGCTGACTCACAGCTATAGACGGGGCTCCTGCTTAGAAGCCTTGTCTTTAACCGCTCCCCAGGATGAGGTTTTTGCTGGCTGCTAGGGTCTTCTGTTTGAGTCTGATTAACATTTTCCAGCTTTTGAACAGGAAGCCTCCAGCGGCTCTCCACTGCCTTTATGTAATCTTTTGCTTGTCCCATGGCTTCTGAAGGGGGAGTGGATGAGGCGGGATCATCGTCACTTCTCTTTGCTACCACTGAAATCTCCGAGTCACTAGATGTTCCCACAGTGGCCCCGTGGCTCTGAGATTTGCTTGAGACGCTTTTTGTTTTAGTTCTTTTCACACTAAAAAGAACAAGCAGAGATTTTATGCTTCATAAAAATGGCATGGTACCCTCCAGTCCCCGCCCCCACATTTCCTATGCCTGACCAGGGGGCATGGGCTACCTGCCTTCTCCTCACCTCCCCAGCATATCTAGAAAAATCCCATATGCAGTTTAAATACAGACTGAACTAAAGAATAACTTTACATATTCCCATACACTAGGGCATGTTTTGCTTTTCAGCCACTGGGGTCATCAACAGAGTGGTGATGGGCTTCACACTTTAGGACAAACAGGCACTCATTTCAAATAGTAGGGGCCACTATTACTGATGCCTGGACATTTTTTTTTTCTGTGTGCACATGCTCAGATATATCCAAAGCTCAGGTCACATGTACATGAGTATGTACCTGTTTATAATCGTTATTTGTGAGCAGAGAATGATCTCCTGGAGTTTCTCTCAGGCTATTTCAAGGTATTTTTCAAATACAAACCCCCTTTATGTGGTGCTGTGGTTGTTCATCAACCACAAAGGAGTAGGACTCCAGTTAATAGAGCTTGAAGTGCTCTGCCAAAAATTCCAGACAGTCAGCACGAAAGAAAGCACAATCACGGCAGACAAGACAGTGCCAATATATCTATCTATCCATCTATCTGCTCAGGTACTGCATTTATCTCAACCCCTTTTCTACAAGCACACCACAGACAAGGAAAATTTCATTCTGACTGTAAAATAACTGCACAGGAAAAACGACCTTACATTCAGCAAGTTCATGGCCAGAAATTTGTGAATGGTAAGAAACTTCTTTAACCACCAAACTCAGAACATTGAAGCTGGAATATTTATTTAGCACAGAGACTGTAACTATCAGGGGCACAAGGATTATCATAATTACATTAAAGTAGAAATGAGCATTTTAGAAGTGTTTTTTAGATCTGTTGGGAGTCAGCCTGAAATTGTATGAAAGACATCAGCAGCAGGTGCTTTTTATCTTCAAAGAGCTTGTAATTAATTACACCTTGCAACATACCTATGAAGCAAGGACTCCATCCCCACTGTCTCGAGTACGAGAAACAGTCAGAGGGTAGGAAGGGCAAGTGTGCAACCGAGGGCAGGATCAGTACCAGTGGGGCTTTCGTGATTAGGTTCCACGCACTCCTGTTCAATTCTAAACTCTGTCCACCCATACAAGCAGTCAAAAATGAGAAAAAGTAAACACACAGGACCTACATTTCTTTCAGAGCGTTTCTCTTGCGCTTTGCACTGGGAGGAAGTGGACTCTCCGCACACTCAGCAAAATAATCAGACACTCCATGGAGAGCTCTTTCTGTCTACTCCAAAAGATAACAAAGGTTCAACCAGAAATCTATTAGCTGAACGTGAGAGAAAACAGTTACACTTTGAATGCTCACAGATTTATTTTTGTAAAGACTCAATGAAATTGCTTACGGTTACAGGCTATTTTAACTTTGTTATCTAGGACTTTTGGGTACGTTACACCTTCTTTTGGACTGCCAGTCCACACATTCCATACATTAATGTGCACCGTGACCATACAAGACTGTCAAGTGATACCCTAGGCCAGTATTTGATATCTCTGTGCTCTATGCGATGGTGGAAGTCCAGAGTCACTGAGCCTGCCCGCAGCCTGTCTGTGAGAGAACTTGGTGGCAGGACTGGGGATTTAGCTCAGTGGCACAGCACCTGCCTGGCAAGCGCAAGGTCATGAGTTCGATTCCCGGTACCAGAAAAAAACAAAAAAACAAAACAAAAAAACAGAGAACTTGGTGGCACAGTGGGTATCACGCCTTCGTCATCCTAAGCATTTCCCGTATTTTCCCTGCTTATAAAAATAGAAATATGGCCACTTGTATCCCTCAAGACAATATTAAGAGTTAAACATTTTAATATAAATATCTTCAAAATAGGTGTTTGTCATTCTTGCTACTGAAAAACTGTTTTGTTCCTTTCTTATACTAATCACTACCATAGTAATTCATAAATTATCTGCTTATCTACATTTTTACATGCCAACGGAAGTACCATAAGGTTGTAATTATAAAAGGTACAAGTCTCCCAATCTTTGCCAACATTGACACACACATGCTTTTGGAATCTTTTCCTTACATCTAGCAAGTAGACAATTCAGACAAGGTGTTACTTTCTCTTGTTTTCTAAGATACTAAGTATTCTTCCCCATCAAATTACAGTAAGTCCCTGACTTATGAACATTTGAGTTGCAAACTTTTCACAGGTGCACTGTATAAGACTCATTTTGTTGGCTTATGAATAAATCCAAATAATTCTCTTGCAATGGAACGCATTTGTAAGTCGGGGACTTACTGTATAATAAAATTTTTTTGCCACAAGGAACAGTACTGGGAAGTTGTCAGCAGATCCCTGCTTTATTTAGGCTTCTGTAGGAATCAACAGTGGCAGTTCCAGAGACCCTGCTAGGAAGCAGCCATAAGTATTATGTCTGGCTCTCCCCCATGTGGGCAGAACGGGCTTCATCCAATCGCGGCGCACACCTGAGATATGAGGAGCCTTTAGCATGAACAGTGCATGTGGCTTCAGGCCCAGCACATATCATTCAATATCTAGTTATAACCCAAGTTAGTCTTAATGGTTAGTGAGCATTGGTTAGGCTTTATTGGATTATACTGCATTCCAATGCATCTCCTGTTTGGCTTTCTGTTTCCCACAAATTTACTTGCTGACCAAAACAAAGTGATTTAAAAGTTCAATGAGAGAGAGAGAGAGAGAGAGCAAGAGTGAGAGAGACAGACAGACAGAGAGAGAGAGGAAGAGAAAGAGAAAGAGGAGAACGAGAGGGAGCATTGGAGATTTATGTGTGAAACACTTCTAAACATGCCCTATAAGTACAGTAGATTTTCCCTTTAGAACCACACCCTGTAAGTGCTGTATTTTCAGAGCTGAACAATTAACATAAGGAGCATGAGTCAGGCTTTGAACAACTCTGTGGGAACCAGAAAGCCTTTTGCTATTAGGAATGATGTAAATTCCCCAAGGCTGGAAGAAGTCCACAATGGAAGGCAGACAGGGTCATAAATAACAACAATGGATTTGGCCTACACCACATGAGGTATGATGCTGCGATAGTGACACTCTCTTCAAATCTCAGATTGGATTTAACCACTGCCTTTAACTTAGTTTTAAAATCCAGTTTTGAGAGCACTGTGTATTTCCTCTGGGAACTTCAAAGTTCTTTAAGAAACAGAGCAGTCAGCTCTCATCCTAAATTCCTCTGACAACAATGGGGGAAAGGATATAAAGAAAAGGGACAGCAGAAAAGGTGACAGAGTGACAGGAGGAAATGTCCAGTTCAAAAAGTGCAAAACCTGTGACTTAGTTTTCAAAAAAAGAAAAGCCAAAAAGTGGGGTGGGGGGGGGTGAAGAAAGGATAAGGTGGAGTCTCTTGCTTACAAATTAAAACCACATTTGGCAATTTGTTGAAGGAGGCACATTTACATTTGTATGAAGACTGGGTGGGCAGTTCTTCAGGCCTTGAACTGTCAGGTCTCATTAGAAATCTCTTATTCTTACATTTCTAGGGTCATTTCACTCCCTTTTGTCACTAAATCACAGCCTTTGGGCCCACTTCCTCAAGTACTCCTAAGGAAGCAGCTATCACCTGGGAATAGCATTTCCCAAAAGACTTTGTCCTGACTATTATTGAGTCTCACATCTGGCATCAAAACGAAATCTGTGGCTTATCCTGAGGCAAAACTTCAAGGTGCAAATATACAGTGAATGGTGAGAGGGTTGAACGCTGTGTTGGTTTGGGGCTTACTTTGAAAGGGGAACAACATAATACAGGACACATACTTTATATGATTATTTATAAGTCACCCAAGGAACAGTATACAAAAGAGTGCAGGGAATGTGTCCACACACTAAGACCAAGGAATCCAGCTGAGGGCCTGGATCCCACAACAATGTCCTACATGAGTTGAACTGAATACCCAGAGCTCATAACAATGCCTCCCATGAATCCAACTGGAGGCCCAGAGCCCATGACGTCTCATGCAGACCTGTTTCACAGATCTCCTGTGAAACAAAAGGTCAGTGGTGGAATCTACAAAGTCTGTACCAGCAGGAAGAAGGATCTGTGCTAGCAGGCTGAGGGATCTGCACTGGAGCCAGGAAGTGATGCTCAGAAGAACCAGAGCTCCCCCAAAAGGTACCACAGCCATCCTCGACAACAGTGAGGTCCCGAGCTCCTCTGATGATCAGGATGGCTGCGTTCCCATCAGGGAAGCCAATGCAGCAAGCTTTTCCAGGAGGCCGGCAGTGCACCATCTTCCCCTCCGGAACCAGGCAGCTATGCTCAAAGTGAGGACCAGAGCTCTCCAAAGTGAACCGAAGCCATTCTCAGTGCCAGCGAGGTCCCGAGCTCCTCGGAGGATGAAAACAGCCAAGTTCATCAGGAAAGACAGCTCCCCACAGCCTCTCTCAGCTCCCAACAGCCTCTCTCAGCTCCCAACAGCCTGCTTCTTCTTTTCCAGGTCTGCCTCTTATGCTGCTGGCAACAGTCCTCAGGTGGGCCTCCCACACCCAGCACCACAATTACTCAGTTCAGCTGGGGGTTATAAGTTGACCACCAGTTATCAATCTACTACAAACACACACACTCAGGGCTTCCATGGAGTATACCACTATCTTTAGATTATGGGTGAATAATGATTCTGTCACCTTCTACAAGAAATACAGACAACCCCAACACATTCAAAGATGCTGCCAGCCTGCCATGCAAAGTCCGCAGTGGATAGTCCATGGAGGCTCAAGTATTTAAGAACTGGATTAATCAGAGGATCTCTTGGGGCCTTCATAAATGACTGGCAGCTAGCTCTTAACCTAGGCCAAGGAATAAAGTCTGTAAATGTCATTTCCTGCCACTGCGCACTCCTGGCTACCTGTCAGCCCTCAGTCTACCCCTTATTTAAATTATTGACAATAATTGAGAATTTTATATTTAAAACTTTTCATCTACAAAGAATGCCCAAACAGACATAGGTCAAGGCCATTGGTCTAAGAACTCTAGCCTAGGGAGATGGCTTCCCTATCAATTCCGGCAAACCCCAGAGCAAGAGGTCAGCCTCTTCTCTATCTCTGGGCATGCTGTTGAGACCAGTGAATGCATGAAGGCTGAGGCTATCAAAGCACGTTATGGCTTAGATCTGAAAGCCTTGGTCCCCAGTGCAGCTGTGTTCAGAGGTGGGGCAGTTTCTGTTGAGGCTCTAACTTCTTCAAGGGATTAACCTATTGATCCATTCATAGCTTAAGGGGATGCGGGGACTAGTGGGAAGGAAGCAGGTCATTGAGGGCATGTTCTTGAAGAATATTCTCTGCTTACTGCTTGCCACGATGTTCTGCCTCGTCTCAGACCCAGAAATAATAGAGCCAAGTAATCACAGACTGAAACTTCTGAACCTGTGTGTCAAAACAAACCTTTCTTTTTTAAAAGGTATTACAGAGAAACACACAACGTGTCAGAGGTGATGCTGCTGGAAGAATCGAACATCTAAAGGCCATGGGTGTTATTCTGGATATGGTGGTCACAGCATGTGCACAGGTAGCAAAGTGAGCTTCACATAGAACCGGAATGAAGGGCAAGTTCCCTGCATGCATATGGGGAGAGGTCTTAGGCCCTGAGGACAGAGGGCAGAGGGAGTAGGAAGTACACCAGAGGAAGAGATAAGAGAACAGGTATGAGGACCAGTGTGTATTGTCAGTAGGAGGGCAAATCTTTTATGCCTCTGTGTGGTTGGCATATCAAAGCAGGAAGGTGATATGCCTGTGGAAGGTTTTGAGAAGAAAAAATGAGCTGGAAGGTTTATCTTGGTTGCTATAGAGGAATAGAGATGGAGGCAGGGAGACTGGTGATGAGACACACAATGGTCCACTCAGAGATGATAGGTCCTCAAGGATGTGGGCAGTAGAGAGAAAGAAGTGGTTAGATTAAAAATACATTTTGAAGGCAGACTGAAAAGAATGCTAATGGGTTGGATGTGGGGGTGTGGGGAAGAGAAAAGTCAAGAATGATTCCAAAGATTGTGGTTTAAGTAGCTGGGTAAAGCAAGTTGCCTTTTGCCACTGCAGGAAATGCAGCGGGGGCGGGGACAGGATTGGGGAAGGAGAACTGAGAAATCAGCTCCACCCTCATGAATGCGATTAGCTGCTTTCATAAAAGGGCCCTGTGGAGGAAGTCTCCCCGACTTGCCCTGCCGCAGACTTGGAGATGTTACGTAGGCAGTTAAATACAGGTACCCAGCAGTCTCTGCAGCAGACCCGGAGTACGGATGCCTCA